CCCGAGTGCTTAAAAAAAAAAAAAAAAAAATTAAAATAAAATGGTTTTCTGGAAGCGTAGCTGCTTTCAAAACCGGGTGATGGTGGAGAGGGGTGGCCCGGCTCCAGCGGGAACTCAGGTGCCTGCAGAGCAGCAGACCTGGGGGTTGCCCACCTTTAGATGGGGGTGCTGGAGATCCGCAGGGAAAGACCCCCCAGCTGCAGGAGGCCAAAGCCCAGGGGGACCGTCAGGAGAGGAGAACGGGTGGTCGGGTGGCTCAGTGCTGCCTCCCTCAAAGGGGGCTGAGATGTCCTCTCCTCTCCCAAGGCAGGAGGACCTCCCCGTCCTGCTGAGGACACCCCGTTAATCCTGGGGTGGTGCGGGGCCGGGGGGTGTCACCATGCAGCCGGCCTCAGCACGGGGAAGGAGGTGGCTTTTTTTTAGTCCTGGCCAGGGAAGGCCCCGCAGGAGGTCGTGCTGCAAGAGAAATTGGGTTGCAATATGGACGGCAGGGGACGTGCCCGCTTTTATTTCCTCAGCGCGCACGGGGACGGGCGAAGACTGCCGGGGGGGGGGGGAAATGTCCTTTAAAGCTCTGTGGCGTAAGAGCAGAGATAGAGGCAGAGGCAGATGCACCCGCAGGCGTACGGGACTCTGCCAAAGGTAACCCCAAGGGTCCCGGGATATGGGGAGAAGAAAAACACCCGGAGAAAATGTGGTCCATGGGGGGTACGCCTGGGGAAACCCACCCTTACCTTCCCCCACCGGGATGCTGGGGGTGAAATCCTGCACGTGCCAGCTCAGCGTCCAGCCGGGGCTGCGATCGGAGGACGCCGCCGGGCATCATCAGAGGAGGGACAGGGAACGGGGCAGCACACGCCGCCGGACCTCTCTGCCATGCGCCTGCATCCCAGGATGCCCCCGAGCAGCAGGCGACGAGGTTTTCCCTCAGAGCCGCCCGGACCCCGGCCAAGTTGCCTTTCGTCCAGGAAAGGGAGCAGTTATCCCCCGTGAACCCAGCCCGGCGTGTGTTTTAAATTAGCGCCTTAGATAAGAGAGCAGCGCTGCGGAGGCGGCTGGCTGCGTCCTCGTACGCCACCGAAAATCGCTGCTGGAAGACAAAAGCCGTAACAGGAAAGGAGCTGAGCTGAAATGAGAAGGAATATTTTATTTTATTTCTTTTTTAGGAAAAGCCGAGGATGGACGGACAGCTTTGGGGAAAGAAAACAAAGTTATGAGAAAGAAGGCTACAGAGCAGGCAGCCCAGAGCCTGTGGTTTGCCAGAGCAGGGTCTGCCCAGCCGCGGTTGCCCAGCGCGGTTGGACGTGCTTCTGCAACGCGCCGTTACGGCGTTTTAGGGACGATAAAGAAATCCCCGCGCGTGGGGACGTGCTCCTCCACGAGATGCAGAAGAGGAGGCCGGGGACGTGCCAGGAGCAGCTCCCGGTGCCTTACCTCCGCTGTCTCCGTCACCCGTTCCTAGCCGCAGCACCTCTGACACGGGGTGAACGATGTGTTTCATCATCCTTGCTCTGACTGCGCTTTTCCCCCCACCCCCGGCCTTGCCGGGCTCTGGGAGCCAAAAAACAGGAGTCCGTAAGAGGATAAGTTCCTGATGGGGCAGAATAGTTTCCGTCTGATGCTTTAACCGGCTAACGAGGCTGGAGACGGGCGTTTGGAGAGCTTTGCGCTGGAGGCTTTTCCTCGCAGCACAACCCTGAACTGACAACATTTTCCTAATTCCCGAGGCCAGGGTGAACTGGTTTCCCCTCTCCGGGTCGGGCTGGCACGCCGCCGCCGGGGCTCGGCGAAGCCGTGCCCGTCCTCCCAGCCGCTTCTCGCCCGCCTCGAGGGCCAGGACCAGAGCTGGGAAGCTCAGCCGTCTCTCCCAGCGTTAGCTGGCTGCAGATCTCCCTTTCAGCCCCAGAAACGTTTAAGGTCGGCTCTCCGGCGTCTGGACTGGGCTGCAAACCCCTGGCCGGCATTTGAGCTGACTACAGGAGATTTTTTTTTCCCCTCCCAGAGCGGCCGCTCCGGCATCTTGCAGACTTCCCGAGCCTGGAATGTGCAGAGAGAGGCTCTTCTGGCCCCGGTAAATACAACTTCTCTTTGGGATAATAATATTTTGGAGCTCAAAAAATAGCTGGTTTGCCTCCGCTCTCCTTCCGCGGGCTGAAGGCAGGCGGTCCCCGGCGCAGCTGACTCCAGATGCGCTCCGTGTGCCCGAGCCCCAAAGCCACAGTCTCTCAGCCCAAACGGATGGTGGGGGGGGGGTGAGGGTGCAAAGGCTGAAGACCTCGCGCGGAGGCGGCCTTGGAGGGAGGCTATGCAGCGCCCACCAAGGTGGCAGGAGAGAAATACGGCGCCTTCGAATTTCCAAGGTCTGCGTGGGAAAGTGTTCCCTCTCCTCCTCCCCCTGTGCGGGGAGACAAGCCCCAGCCTCGGGGCAGGGGCGAGAGGAGGCGACGGGGCGGCTTGCTTCATGCCCCGTTTTCTCCTCCTACTCATCATCCTCCTTCCAAAATGCATTCCTGATGGGCCTCTCCCTGCAGAGCATCCAAAGTCCTGGGCATCCCTGCGCCTCAGTCTAATGAGAGACATCCCTGCAACCGAAAGAATGATCATTATCTCTTTAACACACGTGAGAACGTCAGGTTATTTTCAGCCGCAGGTTAAGATCTGAATTTTGTTACCTAGCTAGCATCCTTGAGAAGTCCACGCCTGGTGCACGTCCACCAGCGCTGCCGTGTCTCCTCTCACCCCACGGATTCGTACCGCGGTCTGAATCCTTCCCGAGGCGAAAGCGCCAGCACACACGCCAAAACACTTATTAATCCTGTTACGGGCTTTAATGAAGAGCTGAACCACGACATTTGTATTTGTTATGGTTGCTAGGTATGTTGCTACGCTCCCCACACCATACCCCACGTCCCGGTATATCTGTGATATCCGAGAGCGCGTACTGGGGAATTTGTTTAGCTCCTATTGCCAAATTCAGTTATACTTTGGGGGGGAAAAAAAAAAAAAAAAAGAGCCATTCAGGAGCTTCTCACAAGCGTCACCTTTTTCCCCGACAACGCAAACACACGTAGGGATATTGAAACAAACAGCTGCACGCCGCCCCTGCCCACACTTTTTTTGTCTAAAAGGGATTTTTGCACCTGCGTGCGCTGCGAGAAAAGCAGGAGCCGGGCTTTTATCCCGAGTTTGAAATCCCTTTTTTTTTTTTTGCCCATCGCCTGGGGAGACGGTGCTGAGCCCTGCGGGCGTTAGCCCCCGGGCCGCCCACCAC